ATCAAAGAGTGAAGCTGGGCATGAAATCCAGGCACATCAATATGGGACATGGGCATCTTAAGGGATATCTTAACCATTAGACAAAATGTCTATAACAAAATAATGTTTTTAAGGAAATAACTTCCTATATTATCTTTAATTTTTGAAGTTTATTTTTACTTATTTGAAAGGCAGAGAGAGGGAGAGAGACAGAGAGAGGGACCCCTATTCACTAGTTTACTTCCCAAATGTTCTCAACAGCCCGGGATGGGCCAGATGCAAACAAGGAGCCAGGAACTCCATCATCTAGGTTTTCTTGGCAGGGATCCAAGATCTTGAGTCATTTACTGCTTCCTCCAAGGGTGTGCATTAGAATAGGAGGCTGGATAAAAAATGGAGGTGATGCTTGATATTAGGCACTCTGATATGGGATGGGTGAATCCCAAATGGTGGCTTAACTCCCTGTGCCACAAAGCCCAATCCATTTTGCAACTTAGCACTGTGTATACATTACTTAAAAGACAATAGCTTTAGCCTGACATTGAGGGGCATTCAAAAAAATGTAAAGTGTGATCTCTGGCTTTGTGAATCTGTATCTTTTTTTTTTTTTTTTGGACACGCTGAGTGGACAGTGAGAGAGAAAGAGAAAGATAGAGAGAAAGGTCTTCCTTTCGCCATTGGTTTACCCTCCAGTGGCCGCCGCAGCCGGCGCGCTGCAGCCGGCACACTTTGCTGATCCGAAGCCAGGAGCCAGGTGCTTCTCCTGGTCTCCCATGGGGTACAGGGCCCAAGCACTTGGGCCATCCTCCACTGCACTCCCTGGCCACAGCAGAGAGCTGGCCTGGAACAGGAGCAACCTGGACAGAATCTGGCGCCCCGACCAGGACTAGAACCCGGTGTGCCGGCACCGCACGGTGGAGGATTAGCCTAGTGAGCCGTGGCACCGGCCCTGTATTGTTTTTTGATGACAGAGCACATGAAAAGTATCAATGATAAAGCAAGATAAAAGTGCAAGTGACATTGTTACTCCAATGTCATATGCTAAAAGTAACAATTCAAAAAGACAAAGATGAGAGTGGGCTAGAGTACATATGAAACATCTCTATTAGTTAGGTCATGACAATCTGTGGTGACAAATCCATCCCAACAATTCAAGGATTTAAAGAACAATGTACAAGCATTTTCTTCTCTCTCATTGAGCAATCCAGGGTGGATTTTGGGTTAGTTGAGTAACTCTTTTCCATAATCAGAAAACCACTCCAGCATCTGTCTTGCTTTGTGTCTTTCAATTTGTGCCTCAGCATCTATCAGAGCCAGCTGTAGGGGAAGCGGCATGAGCACACCTATGTATGTTTCCTCCTGGAAGTGTACACGTGTCTTCCCCTCACACTCCATTAAAGGAAGCTCATCAAGGCCAACCCTCACTGCATGAGAGAAGAGGCATTCAATCTAGCTGGACAGCTTCGTACTTGATACTATACTTTGGATAAGCCAATAAATAGGGGGCCTGGACTCTACAGTCTAATGCAAATGGATTAAGTGCTGAGACTTAATCTCATTATGGCATCTAGGAGGTAGGCTCCATGAGTTTTCTCGGCTTACCTGGGGCTTTAGAAGGCCGTTATCAGGCGCAGGAGTTCTCACAGACCAGTTTCCATGGCTGCTTTCTGATCTTCCATGTGATCATCCCTCGGCTGTCCTCTGGCCACAGAAGACACCTGAACCAATGGGGTTGACTGATCTCGCACTGAAACTCCCAAATTGTAAGCTGAAATAAACCTTCCTAAGAACTTCCTTTAGGGTACTTGTTATTAGAATACTGAGAATCTACCTAATACACTGACCCTTCCACTGCAATGGGAGAAGCAGAATACATTTTGGTGGACAGCTGGGATTTCTATTGCAGATATGGAATATCAGTGATTTGGAGGAGTAAGGAACAAAAAGAATGGCTTTAATCAGGCCAGTAAGAACAATTAGGCTGTTGAGCCATGTCAAATTTGCATTTGTTTAGCTGATAAATAAAATTTACCCTAGCTTATTTATTTATTTTTTTTGGACAGGCAGAGTGGACAGTGAGAGAGAGAGAGAGACAGAGAGAAAGGTCTTCCTTTTGCCATTGGTTCACCCTCCAAAGGCCGCTGCGGCCGGCGCACCGCGCTGATCCCATGGCAGTAGCCAGGTACTTATCCTGGTCTCCCATGGGGTGCAGGGCCCAAGTACTTGGGCCATCCTCCATTGCACTCCCTGGCCACAGCAGAGAGCTGGCCTGGAAGAGGGGCAACCAGGACAGAATCTAGCGCCCTGACCGGGACTAGAACCCGGTGTGCCGGCGCCGCAAGGCGGAGGGTTAGCCTAGTGAGCCACTGCGCCGGTCCCTAGATGATTTCTAAAATCGTTTTTAGCTTCTAAGTTTCTGTGTTTCCGGGAGTTAATATTCAATGGGTAACATGTTTAGCTGGGGCATGGTGTTCATGGTGGGAACAGTTTAAGATACTGTCACATTATGTGAGTAGAGTGGGTTTTGAATAATCATCTATTGCACTGGAGATTTTAATAATTCAACTGACAGATTTTGATCAGGTACCTGCTTGTGACAGTTAATTTTATGTGTCAACTTAGTGGAGCTAAGGGATACCCAGATGGCTGATAAAACATTTCTGGGTGTGTCTCTGAGGATGTTTTTGGAACAGATTAACAATTGAACCAGCAGACTAATGTAAAGGAGATCTGCTCTGGTCAACATGAATGTGCATGATTCAACCCACTGAGGGCCTAGATATAACACATTGGCAGAGAAAGGGCAAATTCACTCACTTGCTCTCTCTTTAAGCTAGGGCATCTATCTTCTCTTGCTCTTAGACATCAAATTCCTTACAACTTTAACTTTGACCTCATCAGGTTTCCTGGTTCTCCAGCTTACGCATGGGAGATCATGGGACTTTTGGCCTCTGTTACTCATGGAAGCCAATTCCCATAATAAATCTTTCTCTCTCTCTCTATCATCTCTATCCCTTCTACTGATTCTTTTCTTTGAAGAAACTTACTGACTCTATTACAGACCAGATTCTTTGCCAGGTGCTTTGGTGGGAACAAAGAAATCAACTCATTCTTTTACAGAATATATGAAATACTATTTATGGGGGAGTTGAGTTGTATGAAGAAAGGGGAAGATTAAAAATGAAGCAGAATAGGATATGTTCCCAGATTTCCACATCTCACAATATGGGATAGGAGGCTGGGTGAATATGAAATCATCCTTGAATATATTCTACAAGATTTTCTGAAAAAAAAAAAAAAAAAACTCCTATTAAGAGCTTGTTTTCCTGTGACTTGCCTTTTACAATTTGTGATATTAAACGAACATTTATTGAAAGTTCTGACCGATTGACTTTGGGTTAACTACAGTTTTATTCAAGTAATAATGCATGATTCCATTCTCTATTTTACAGACTAGTTAACTAATTTAATATTCTTTATGGAATAAAATAAGAGTTTATACAGTCAAGGAACTCCATATAATTTACCAATTTCTTTGAAAATATTTTCTCAAGTGCTATAATCACTTGAAAACTCTGCAAATCTTGTTCTGTGGTTAATTTGTAGCCAGTCATATCTCGAATATATAATAGGATGCATTTCTTTGGCTCTAACAGATTTACCCTGACTTTATTTCTCAATAGTTTTAGTTCTTCAAAAATTCTCTGATCATGAGAAATTACAACCCTGAAGATTTCAGAGGGAGAGCATCTCCCAAGTTTCACATTTAGTTTTGGCTTTTGGATCATGCCTTGCTATAAACTCACAACAATTGTTTCTATTGTCTTGATTACCTGGTTGAGTTTTCCTTTGTTATGTGGTACAAGATCTGGTATTGGGAGTCCTGAGAAACACATTTCAGCTGGGTTTGCCACTGACCAGTAGACAAATCTTTTGCCCTCACGGAGACTTGTCTCTCAAATGAGGGGGACTGAGACAGCAGTGTAGTTTGTATTCTCTTTGAAATATTGCTCTATGTTAATGGTGGGCTGATAATTTTTTGCAGTCAATCTGCTTATTAAATTAAATATTTAAATATTTACCAAGTGAATTGAGAATTATATACTACTGTAATATTAATGATTTTATGACTTCATTAAAATTTACTTTATATGACATGTTGAATATCATTTCCTTTGATTACTGTTTATAGTCTTGCCTATTTTCCTGATGGAATACTGTCTTTCTACTTGTTGAATTCTTTATTCAGTAAAGTCATTAAGCATTTTACTATAATTTAAGTTAAAAACACATTATCTCAAGAACAATACAATTAAAAATAATTTTTAAAAATTAAAAAGGGGTATTTATCTTCTGAACAACTTGTGACTGTATACAAAATTAGCTTCCATAAAAGTCCTTTTCCTCAACTACAGTACTAAAAGGCAAAACTCATTTTGTATAAATGTGTGCATTTGCATGTTTAAATGGGGTCTGATTTATGTTGTGCCAAGTACCACTACTGACAATTATGTAGGCTTTGAAATGAAGTTATGACTTAGGAATATATGTGACATATGTTCTACTCCAAATTAAAAATATGCCTATGGGAAACTTAAAAAAAATCCACCAACACTGCTAAAACCTAAAAATTGTATAAATCGATTTACAGTATTTTTACTTTGCATGGGAACAACATTTGTGCCTCTCGGCTTTTGAACATCAGATAGTTTTAAATCTCATTTCCAGTTGTAACAATAACAGCAACCGTATCGGCAGCTCACATTTACAGAGTTCTTCCCTGATGCCATGCTACATACCAGATGTTTTATGTGAATTATCCTTTTACTTTACTTTTTAATCTTCACAGCCAAGCTGCTGTATTTAATATGCACACAGGCAAAGTCTTAATGCTCAGCTGGTATTACACAGAAGCCTACCCACCTACCTACCCACGCACACACACATAAAATAAACTTCTGTGAGGGGGAAAAGAAAAAACAAGCAGAACGAAGAGTTTTCACAAAATAAGCACCCTGAAGTCATGGGACAGATCTAGCAAATTCTTTTTATTTACATAGAAATGTGTACACATACTTTCTCTGTACACAGAAAACTCGCTAAGTATATATACATATATGGTTCCCACATATTTTACAATAAATAGTCTTTTACTCTTGTGTCTAGATGAAAATAAAAACATGTCTCAAAATGTTACTCACCAACCACAAAAATTACAAAAGCACCCGATGAACTCAGAGAAAATATTTCAAGCCTGCACTACCACACACTAAGCCTAGTACAATTTTACAAAGGACAAAATCGAACACTGTGCAGATTTCACCAGTAAAAAGAAAGGAATCGAGATGTAAAATAGAGAACAGAGCTGCTTGCTGTTTGAACAAGGTGGAAAATGCATTTTTGTTGGTTAGGACTTAGCTTACTTTAGTCTTCAATTTAATATTTTACTTTAGTTGGTATTTTACAGACAAGAGAAGGGAAAAAGTTAACATGTATTATAAAATGAGTAAGCACTCCATTAGTCTCCTGGGTTCTAGCAGCCTCTTTCCTGCCAACCACATCTTCATTCTGTGTTAATTCAAGGATCATCCAGTTGCACCATACAGGATTGCCATTTACTCCCACAGAGATGATGCCAGGGGCACTGACTGGGAAGTGACCTTAATTTGGAAGTAATTTCAAAAGTCTGGCAAAGTAAGCCAGGTATCAGGGTTGTTAGCACTTAATTAGAAATGCTTAAATATTCCTATATTTCCTTACAGAAATTGATCCCTCATTCAAATAGTTAAATGCAATGAGAACTTAGTCTGAAATGCTAAATACAACAAATCCAGCCAGAATCCTGGAATTTTTCCTGTCTCCACTTCCAATTTTTGTTCCCAATCTCAGCAAGGAAGCAATTACTTCCTCCAAATTTCAGAATTACTGTACACGTGTATATAAAATCACACTGTAAAACAAATAGAATGAGGTTTTAACAGCGAGGGTGAACACAAGCTTTGTCATTTTTGGTAACCCCACAGCACTGAATTTGACAGAAGAATCTAGAAACTACTGAGCTTCATTACTGTGGAACTGACTTATACCCAGATGTGCTTTCCTGATCACACACCAGGATTATCACTCAGATGAGATTACTAAGGATTGTGATCAACTCATGGCTAAGTGCTTAGATCACATTCCACTCACATCCAGCTCAGATGATACACCCAGTTCCACTGTGGCACTGTAACTCCACACGTGGATTTGGAGACAAATTGTACCCTTTCACTTCTGGTATCAATGCTGGTACAGATGTGGGGAGAGAGTTAGGAATAAAAAAGGAATTCAATGTCAGAAACACAATTCATTTATCAAATACAACATTTTTGGTTACTACTGAATCTCCTAGTTTCAAGGTAACTTTTCAAAACATACGTCAAATTCAGGCTCATTTTCAGAGCAACATGAATCACGTGCATCATTCGATTCCTTCTTGTTACACATGGCTGCGTATCCTTGTTCTTTTAGAGAATTAATGATACTTCTAGAACTTGGTCATCTTACACAAAAGTGATGGTTCCATCAACAGTTTGACTCCTTAGTTAAAAGTACTTATAATCAAAACAAAACAAACACATTCCACATTTGAAGATGTTTCTTTTTCTTTTTTTAATTAGAAAACTTGATAGAGAACTATGGTTCAATGCCAGAAACAGAAGGGATCCTTTACCATGAAGAACTTATCATGTTTTGTGGTCATTCTACTTAAATATCTATATATCTATGTCCTTCATTTCCATAGCTGCAGAAAGATTCAGCCAGAAGATAAGTAGGGGGTCTCACTATGGTAATTGTAGTCAGGACAGACCTTTTGCACAAGTTTGTAATCAACACTGTAAAAGGCAATGTAGATGCAAATGACCTTGAAGGGCTTGGAGCACAGCCAAGACACATGGCTCTGAGTCTGCTCCTGGTAGCAGATCTTGGATGGGTCAAAGTTGCACAAGGCAGTCTTCTTCGCCCTATCTGTTTTTTCATACTCAATGCGACAATTGAAAGACTTGGATTCCTTGGTCTCCAAGGTAGACTGGGGAGAAACTTCAAATTCCACTACTTTGGAGGGGGGTACCAAGCTCACTGAAACATTGCCCAGGCCTGTTGAATTATGTCGGAAATAAACACTGAATGTTCCATTCCCATGGTCGACAATTTTTCCTGTGATTAGGAGGTTGAGTTTGACAGTTTTAATGTTGGAATGGAAGTCACCCCATCCAAACATTTTTTTAAATTTTCCTGTTTTTACTATTGGCCTCCGTTTAGTTCTGGCCAATGGCTCCTGAACCTCCGTGATGTTGGCCAGCCAATCCCAAAAGTTTTCCATGCTGTCTGCATACGTCACGGGGCCTGGCTTCGGCACTGGGGATTGCTTAACAAACAGGCGCAGGGGGCTGATGATCCGTGAGTGAACCACGTTTCCGACCAATGTCCCCGGAGCATCTTTGTCTTCCCAGTCTAGTCCCTCTGCGACAGGCACCACTTCTTTACTGTCACAGAAGAGCTGTTTGAAAGAAGGGAGAGAAACAAACTTCAGGTTAGGCTTTCAGCATGCACGCAGACTGAAGTCAAAGTAGAAGGGGAATTCTTTCAAAATTATTCAAATTCTTGCAAAGTAGCATTTCACATACACAGTTGGGCCCCACAGTGTAATAAGATGAGCATTTAATTCAAGTAACACAAAACTGAGTACAAAAATTAGATGGTGAGATAAAGAAGACTATATTTCATTTTGACACACTAATGTAGTTTTAGTCTCTGTTTCCTAATTTTTACAATTCTGTTTTTCTAGATTGGTGAATGTAGTGCTTTGGCCTCTCATTTAAAATCAAAATTTGTGAAGCCTTTTCCTTCAAAAGGAAGAAAACTCTGGAATGCTTAAAGTTTCTACCAAGGAGGTAAAAACCATATGAATTTGAGATACTGATAAGTCTCTTAAATATATTTGGAAATATTCAGATATTATTATATTCAAAGGCTTATGACATAATTTCATAGCTTTTAATGTAAATCCATCACACACTGTAAAATAAAAGGCCTAATCAGTTTTAGAAAGTTCTATAAAAATTTCAGTTGAAAAAATATAATTACATATTTAATTGCCTTCATAGAATAAAAATTAACACTGAAAAGTAGATTTTGACTTAATTAATAGACTGCATGTGATTTAATAAATGTGTTACAACTGAATTATTCCCAGAAAGACAGCATTCTTAAGTAACAGTTACATGCATGTGTTTTACAGATTCTGCATATTTTGGACTGCATAATAACCACCAAAACATAGTACTTTATTTACATTTGATTTTGCTTCTTATTCTTTTTGTAGTATAAGATTCTTTGTGATATGGAAAAGTCATTTAATTAGGTTAATATGGATTCTGAGGGATATAATCATTATATATGAAACTGTTGACATAAGTGAATATTTATAGACGAATTAGTGAAATGAAGGTTCTAGTGGAAACACAGATAGCCTCTTATCTTTATTGGCACAAACCACTCATGCAGTCATTTCACAGAAAGCTTGTCAGCATGATGGAAAGGGTGACAAAAGAAGTGAGGCTATGTTTATGCACTGGTTCTCTGGCCCTTTCAAACTTGGCAAAGCTCTTGGTAAAACTGGCCTCAGATTATTCCAAAAATTATAGCTTTCAATCCAATCTTGAAAAAGAAAAAAAAAAAGAGACATAAGCTGGATTATAGATTTTGTGTTTAACTATATGATACAGTTTGGTAACCTGAGGTTCTCTTCCATTGGTTCACAAAACTTTAGATGTCAGTGCTAACAGAATTTTGTGGAGTGTTTTCAAGTCCCAGGATTACTTTAGAGCAGGAATCCAAGGACCCAAAATGCATGGGTTGGGGTCCTTTTTGCTTTGAATGGGAGGGGGTCTTACCTAATACATTTCTCCCTTTGATTAATTTCCTTAGAGCTTTTCTTATTTCTGGAGTTTAAAAAAAGTTATTTTCTCTTCACTAAGATTATGAGGTTGGCGGAACACATAATGTGATAGGATACACATTCCTTTTTTGAGAACCTAAATCCATATACCTCTTCTTAGAGGCCTTCACATCCTGAATTGATATTTCTTTTTCCTGCTGTGGAAAGACTGGCATGCTCAACAGGGGAAGAGAAGTCATTACTTTGGATTCCTGACTCAAAATGTTTCTGATACTTAAATGTCCACAAACTTCATTCTCATCCACTGGTACTTCTCCCTGGAGTATAGTATGCTGGTCTAATTCTTCCCACCACCACCCTCCTGCCCCAAATATTTTATTTATTTGAAAGGTAGAGAGACAGAGAGACATACAGAGGGAGGGCTCAGAGAAGGCTCTCATCTGCTCGCCTACCCCCAAAACGCCTGCAGTAGTCACAGCTGGGCTAGGCCAAAGCCAGGAGACTAGAACTCAATCCAGGTCTCCCACATGGTGGCAGGAACCCAAGTACTTGAATCATCACCTGCTGCCTCCCATGGTACACATTCACAAAAAGCTAGAATCAGGAGTAGTCAGACCTCAAACCCAGGCCCTCCAATATGCAATGCAGGCATTTCAAACAGCATCTTAACTGCTGCATCACATGGCCAGCCCCAGGTGCAGTTGAGACTTGAGATCTGGAGCACTGGCATAGCCTGGCTCCTTCTCCAAAGAGAGGGACAAGCACTCATGAACAGATTAGACACCCTTGCTGATCAAGATCCAATTTCTCCTCTCTGTGATCATGATCCTTGTAGCCCAGAGTCTGTGACCTGTTTTTTCACCTGTTTCCGGTATTTCACAAGGTCTGCCTTGCTTGGTAAATGCTGATGGGACACACCCTGGCTTTGTTGAATGTCTGGTGTAATACAAATGCTCACTTACTCCCTCACCCCCATCTGATTCCACACAGCTTCTGCAGCTCTTCCTTCACTCCTGCCTTCCTTCCTCTCTTTCGTAGCTTTATCCGTTCTGGCATCTTCCCATTCAACTGGCTTCTCTTAAAAAGAAAATCTGAATTCTTACCTTTATACTACATGCTACTGATTAATACTTTATTAACAGGACTAAGCTGTATTTTCCATTCAAAAATAATTTTTTTGACAGGCAGAGTGGACAGTGAGAGAGAGAGACAGAGAGAAAGGTCTTCCTTTGCCATTGGTTCACCCCACAATGGCCGCCGCGGCTGGCGCGCTGCGGCTGGCGCACTGCGCTGATCCGAAGCCAGGAGCCAGGTGCTTCTCCTGGTCTCCCATGGGGTGCAGGGCCCAAGCACTTGGGCCATCCTCCACTGCACTCCCGGGCCATAGCAGAGAGGTGGCCTGGAAGAGGGGCAACTGGGACAGAATCCGGCGCCCTGAATGGGACTAGAACCCAGTATGCCGGTGCTGCAGGCGGAGGATTAGCCTATTGAGCCACGGCACCGGCCCAAAAATAATTTTTTCAACTGCAAGTATGAAACACTCTTTGCTACCAGTAGCAACATGTTCTATCTTTTCTTAAAATGTTTGCTTTACATGACATATTTTTCTGATTCAGTTACTTGTTCTGTTCTCTACTCTCTTTCTCAATTACTGAAAACTTACTGAACTCATTATTCAATGATGAGGAAATTTTGTGATGTTAACTCTCAGCTGATCTTGGTTCATTTTTATTATTTTTATTTATTATTTATTTTATTTATTTATTATTTTTATTATTATTTTTATTTATTTGGGGGAGGGAGGGAAGGCGCAAAAGAGGGATTGATGGAGGGGTGGGAGAGAGGTATCACATTAGTGAGTTATTTCCCCAAATATCCAAACAGAAGGCTAACCCAATTCAGATCTCCTCTGTGGGTGGCAGGAACTCAACACTTGAGGCATCACCTGCTTCCTCCCAGGATGCACATTAGCAGAATTCTGAAGGCACCAGGAATGTGACCCAGGCACTCTGATGTGGGGCACAGGTATCTTAAATGTTATGTTAAACACCCACTCCCTGGCACATTTTAGAATACATGATAGACTCAATGATGAGATCCTTCTCTTATTTCTTAGACTTCCATTGTGATGGTCCTGAGATTGCTCAATAAAATAATTATCATATCATAAATGGCTTGTTACTAAGACTTATTTTTAAGATCTGTGGATTTTCCTGGTAGTAATTTATGTTGTAATGGAACTTGACCAAACATACATGACTCACCTAAGAAATATGAGTGCAAAAAAAAAAAAAAAAAACACTTGAAGCTTATCAAACGGATGGATGGAATTATTTGCTTTTACAAAAGTTCCTTAACTCTTCAGAAAAGATTCTCCATATAAGAATTTAAAATACAATTTGGTTTCTAGAAAACTCATTCTAGTAAACTATACTTTAGGTCCAAACCTGCTTAAGCAGCCCTTAATTTTAAGGTTCATCTATGTAAAACATAATAAACTTGGCTAACATCACTGATCTATGCTTCTGTCACCCAGTGAAAACACTCACTGATGGTTTCTTAGATAAAAGGTGTGTGATTTGTGCACTAATTTTGTTTGGTTTCCCCAGACTATCATATTTCCTACTAGCATTGATGACAATATTAGCCAAGTAGAGAAATAGATACATCGACAAGGATGAGCATTGGCCCAGCAGTTAAGCCTCATGTGGGATGCCCACATCCGATATCAGGATGCCTGGGTTTGATTCTCAGTTCTGCTTTCAGTTTCAGCTTCCTGCTGATGCACATCCTGGGACGCCTTAGGGTGATGGCCCAAGTACCCGGTCTCTGACACACACATGAAAAACCTAGAATGAGCTTCTGGCTTTGCCCTGGCTCAGCCCCTGCAAGCACTGGAGTGACCCAGTGGATGAAAGATCTGTCTCTCTCTCTCGTTCTGCCTTTCAAATGAAATGAAACAAAACACAGTCCTTCTATGTAGTGATTTCTCTATCAAAGCCAAAATTGCACAGTTATCAGTAAGTACTTCTTGACTAGCAGAGTAGTATAATTAAAAGGATGAATATATTTCTTGGTGTCTTTAAAAGTTGAAACCTGCACCCCCTTTTTCTGCTTCCTCTCCCAGCACTGTACTTGTTCAGCCTTCCTCTGGTCATAAATCACCAGAGCGGAGAGGGCAGCTATGCCAGATGGTTGTGTGACCTAGGTCCCCAAGGCTCATGCTCAACCTCAGGAGACCTAATCAGGGAAGGCTGGGGACCAATAAGCCACAACCCTGTCCCCCAGTTACCCATTGTGGGGAGCAGCCCGGACTGGACTGAGTTACTGGAATTAAGACTTATTCTATGCATCTGCTCTCCCACAATATGGCGCTGGGAGAGAAGTAAACAGCTTCCGCACAGCTGCCTCCAGTTCAACCAATAAACTGTAGGACTTGCTCCTGATTGGAGGAGAGCAGCGTACTCGGCGTGTGGGCAGCCGAGTTGGGATTGGCGGAGGAGGACTATAAAGGAGGAGAGAGACGGCATGCACCAGGAACATCTAAGGGGAACATCTAAGGGGAACACCTGTGCAGCCCCCGAGAAAGCCGGCCGGCG